CAAAGAAAATTGACAAGACATGAGGAAATAATGTAGGGAGCTTTTCAAGTAAGTGCTTAATACCTAGGAGGAGGCAAAGATAAAGAGATTCAACAACAAAAAAAAAAGCTTAAAATTATAGAAACAAGGCTAAAAATTATCCACCATGTTTTTACTGTAAAAAAACAAATCACCAGTAGAGAAAATGTTTATAGAGACCAAACATTAAGTGTAGAAAATGTGCTTAGATTGGACATATTAAAAGAATTCACATATCACAACAACAAGAAAAAAAAAAAAAAAATCTTGTTGCTCAGTAACGTGAAGAGGAGCAGCTGTTTGCCGCATGATATTTTTCAACAAGCAATAGTTTGAGTGATTTCTGATTAATTGATAGTGGTCCACCACATGAAAAATAATTAAGAATTATTTAAGAAAATTGACAAAACTACTATTTTCAAAGTCAAAATTAGAAATGATAATTATATTGTTGTTAAAGATAAAGAAATTGTTGCTATAAATAGTTTGTTATTAGCGAGAAGGTTGCTAATTTGTTGCAATTACTGGTGGTTCCAACCAGGCCATTCAACGTGAAAGTTGCTAACGGGAACATTGAAATGCCAAGGGAGATTTGAGCAAGTGTCGATCTTACTTCTAGGTATCCCTTTTTCTCTTACTTTCTATTCCATGCCATTGATCGGGTTAGACTTGGTGCTAGGCATACAATGGTTGGAGCAACTACAAACGCAATTGGACAGAATTGACAATGCAGTTCCAGTGGAAAAATCAAACTCACAAGTTACAGGGACTAAATGCACAACCCATTCAATCTGCTTCCTTGATTTCCCAGAAGTTATGGCAAGGACATTCTATGTTTTTTATTTGCCTAAAAATCACAGCAAATGAACCGTAACTTGATGTGCACCTGGATATGCAGCACTTGATAAAAGCTTTCGAGGACATTTTTCAAGAGCCTAAGCAATTACCCCCATCAAGAGAGATTGACCACTGCATCACTGTAAATGAAAGAACCAAGCTTATCGATGTGAGACCTTATAATATTTTAAAAAAGCTAAAATTAAAAACAGTTCATTCATGACATGTTAAAATTTGGGTTTATAAGATCTAACACTAGTTCTTTTTCATCTCCTATCCAGTTGGTTAAAAAAAAATGACATATGGTGTTTTTGTACTGATTATAGAGCCCTCAATGCTGCAATCATCAAGTATGATAAACTCTCCAGACATTTCTAAAATTTCTTTTCACATTTATAATTTATAATGGTCATTATAAATATTTATTCATGCCTTTTGTTCTTCGCAATACACCCTTCATTTTTTAAGCTTTTATGAATTTTATATTCCAACCTTACCTAAATTTGTGCTAGTTTTTCTATGACATTTTAATTTATAGCTATAATTGAGCCATGCATCTTGAATATGTTCAACAAGCTTTTGAAATTTTAAGACAACACCAATTTAATATTAAATTCAGCAAATATGAATTTGGAAAGCAAGAGTGGAATTACTTGGGTGATATTGTTACTTCTCAGTAGTGAAAGTTGATCAAGGTAAAATTAACACAATGTTAAATTGACCTAAGCCTACAAATATCTCATTTGTTTATTGAAAAGTACTTTTTTAGAAAAATAAATTTTTTTAAAAAAGTAAATTTCTAGAAAATAAATTATTTTTTGATATTTGATAATTTAATAAAAAATAAGTTGAAAAGAACTTTCTAGTGTTTGGTCATGTTAGGAAAAATAAGTAGGAAAATAACTTAATAATATTTTTTTAAGTTTATTAAAATAATAAAAAACAAATATTACAAATTAAAAAGTTGAATGAGAATGAAATTAAAAATAATAATTTAGTAAATTATCTCAAATAAAATAAATAATAATCAAAATAATAGAAGTCAAATTTAACAGATAAAAAAATTAAAAGATGATGAAATTAAAATCATCATAATTATAATTTTATAAATTATTTCAAATAAAATAAGTAACAAACAAAAGAATAAAAACCAAATTTGATAGATAAAAAATTTCAATTAAAAAATAATAAGAGAAAAGCAAGTATCAATCATAAAAATGAGAACCATTGTTAATATAAAAATCAAATTAAATCAAATTCTAAGAGGTAAAATTGAAGGAAAAAAATTCAAAACAAAATATATAGTAATCAAAAATTTGAGGATCAAATTTGTTATAATTAGTAAATAATATAATATTTCTAAATTTTTTATAACTTTTAGAAAGTGTTTCCCACTAAAAATAAAAGGAAAATATTTTATTTGAAATCAAATTAAATTTTTCTTTAATTATAAAGTATTTTTCATTGATTAATTTTTTAATAACAAATAAATATATAAAAATTTAAAAAAATTTAAAAATTATTTTCCACCAAATATACAATTTCTAATATTTCTGAATTGCATGGTTTTTTAGACCTTACAGGATTCTAATACAAGTTTGTTTGTAACTACAACATCTTCGCTCGACCACTTACAAACCTATTAAGAAGGGGGCAATTCGGATGGTCAAAAGAGGCTGAATCCGCCTTCCAAGCTCTCAAACAAGCCATGACTTCAACACTTACACTTGTCATGCCTAACTTTAATGAACCTTTTGTTATTGAATTTGATGCTTTAGGGGATGGAATTGGTGCTGTTCTAACTCAATAAGGAAAGCCAATTGCCTTCATGAGTCGAGTTTTGAGGCTGTCCAAACGGTCATAGTATACTTATGCGAGAGAAATGTTGGCCATAGTGCAAGCCATCCGAACTTGGCAACCATATCTGCTAGGACGACATTTTTATATCCAGACGGATCAGCGCAGCCTCAAATATTTATTGGAGCAACACATCAGAACTCCAAAACAACAAAAATGGATGACAAAGTTGCTTGGGTATCATTATGAAATCATTTAAAAATCAGGCCAGGAGAATTCAGCGGTTGATGCACTGTCAAAGAGTGGCTTTGTTTGTTTCACAAGCTCCTATATGGGACGAGATTAAAGAGGAGGCTGCTAGACATCCTCAAATGGACAAAATAGGCAAGTCAAAAACTGTGAAACCTGGTGTTCCTTACACCTGGTGAAATGGACTGGTGTGCTATAAAAATCGAGTGGTAGTACCTCCAAATTCTCTAATAATCAAGCGACTCTTGCAAGAATTCCATGATTCTCAAGTTGATGGACATTCAGGAGTGTTACGGACACACAAATGACTTTCCCAGCAATTCTATTGGCCATATATGTATCAGGCAGTGCATGACTATGTCTCTTCTTGTGATATATGTCAACGAGTTAAAGACAGAAACTCTCATCACCTGCAGGCCTCTTGTAACCATTGCCCATTCCATGCCAAGTTTGGGACGACTTCACCATGGACTTCATCGAAGGACTGCCATCATCCAATAGCAAGAACACAAATTCTTGTAGTTGTAGCTTAGTGAATCAGCACATTTTCTACCCTTAACTCGTCCCTTTACTGCAAAAATGGTGGTTGAAAAATTCGTAGACGGAATAGTGAAGTTGCATGGAATGCCTAAGCCCATCATTACCGATCGGTATCCAATATTTATTAGCCATTTCTGGAGTGAGTTTTTCCAATATTTATTAGGCATTTCTGGAGTGAGTTTTTCAAGATATCAAGCACATAGCAAGAAATGAATTCTGCTTACCATCCACAAACAGATGGCCAGTCTGGAGTTGTCAATAGGTGTGTCGAACAATATCTTTGATGTTTTGTCCATCAACAACCACGCAAATGGAGCACTTTTCTCCTATGGGCTGAATTCTGGTGTAACACAAAATACCACACATCCACAGGAATGACACATTTTCAAGCTTTATATGGGCGTCTACCACGAAGCATTCCACACTATGAGTTGGGCACCTCTCTAGTCAGCGAAATTGATCAAAATCTAGCCTCGCGTGATGAACTATTATGGCGAATTTACATGCTGCTAACAGTCGCATGAAACAGGTAGCTGACTCAAAACGGCATGACGTTGAGTATCAAGTGGGAGATCTGGTTTTCATTAAGCTCCACCCTTATCGGCAACAAGCAGTCTTTAGGCATCCATCTCAGAAATTGGCAAGCTGATTTTATGGTCCTTGTCAAATTGAGCAATGAATTGGTAAGGTGGCATATAAAATAAAGCTTCCAGACGGCTCTCGAATTCACAGTCTTCCATGTTTCATTGCCGAAAAAGAGAGTTGTAGAACCCACTGTTGCTACAACCGATTTACCTCTCATTGATGATACTGGTGCAATTATCATGGAAACTGAAACAATCTTGGATACACGCTGGGTTACAAAAGGATCACGCTTTGTTGAAGAAAGTCTTGTCAAATGTAAACAACTACCTGTAGATGATACTACTTGGGAAAATACTCAGGACTTGCACGATAAGTTCATAAACATGGACCTTGAGGACAAGGTTCCAGTGAAAGAAAGCGGTATTGATAGTCCAAGAAGGTCGCTACGTGTTCAGGAGAAGTTGTTATTTCCTTTATGTATTTAAACTCTTCCATTACGCAGTAATAAAGCAAGTCTTATTCAAAGTCAATTACTGTGGTTCATTCTCACCATAAGTAGAATTCTATCTACTCAGCAATTGTAATGGCTTTGACGGTGACCTAACACGAGTGGAGGTAAAAACGAACCCAATGCCACCGTGGACGAGTGAAGTAAAATGTATACGTTGAATCAGCCGTCAAAATCCTTGCGCCGCGATATAAAGGGAGTCCAGAAGAAGTAGCATTCACAGAAATGGAATCAACACAAGCAGTACGTTAATTGGTTAATATTAACGCAAGCGATAGATTCAGCAACCAAAAATAAGTTGAAGTTTCTGGCCCAAAGTTCAGATCAGACTCTTATAGATCCACAAAATCAATCCCTCAAAGCAGCCACTCCAGCCTTCAGTTTCGCAGCAAGTTCAACCTCCTTTTAACCTGGCAATTTCAAAGTGAAAGCACCAACAAAATACGGTAGCAGTCACACCTGGATCTAAAAACTCAAACTTGTCTCTCATTAGTTCAATTTCCTTATCATTTCTCTTCAAGACAAACAACTTGAGATGCTACAGGGGACCAAAAGAAGAAACCTAAAAATGCCATTTGAAAAATGTGTTGATGGATTTCAATTTAAAATATTGATACAAAAAGAATGAGATCCACAATCATGTGGGCGAAAGAATATAATATATGATATGTATGTATAAAAAAAAAAAAATTGATTTTTCCATAACATTCCGTCCATGAAAATCACACCTATTATCACTGCATCCTGCAGCCTTGTTCTGCTGTTCTAAGATATAACAGTCCTCGTCTTATCCTCTGCAAAGAATTAGAAAGAAAAACGGAAAATTAATCAGCATTTTCAGACTCTCACAATGATATCTATTACATCTAGTAAAACATAAAATAACAAAAACATCAAGACTTGTCTGTGTGATTCCAAGAGTTAAGGATATTCCTATCATTTTCAGCTGCACGAGTATATCTGTAATTTCTAAAATTTTCTGAAAATTGCCAAGAACAAATTATTCATGCACTGGAGTTAAGGCTGGTCCTCAATTCCTCCTTTATTTCTTTCTAGTATTGATTCTAAATTTGAAACCCATGATCCTGTTCTCCTTCTTGTCCTACTTCAAACCTAATGGTAAAATATGCACGCTCACTATAAGGGAACATGATTCCCTCACTTTTGCAGACATGAAAATGAGCATATTATGCCCTAATGCCTTCCATCCCAGATACTTGATGACATAAATCATTGACGAGGAAGACTTGTACGAAACCAAAAAGAAAAAAATACAGAACATCAAACAGAAAAATCTTACAAAAGATGATTGCATTTAATGCAAAATGATATCATCCCACTCATATGAGAAGTTAACATTTTGTATTAACATTCTGTATACAAATCTTGTTTACACTCTCCCCCATTGAATATGGATTGCTGGCACATGAAATATTCTAATTGGCTTTTCATGGAAGGTGTACAAATGAAATTCTGATAAAAGAATGCATGCATTCAATGAGAAACATCAGATCAACTCGTTTCTTGTAATTTCCAAGACCAGGTACAATGCACTCCTAATTTCAATGTTGAAAGGAGATACTGTACCTCTGTTGTATCCCTTATACAAAGGAGCTCCAATCTTTCAAAAGGTCTCCTATCTGTTAAAGTAGCAAGCTGCATCAAAACATGAAAATCAGAAACTGCAGTGAAATCATGGACAAACCCCATATGTATTGATAAATTAAGTTAAGCATACCCAGAAACTGAAGCGTTCAGGATCCAATGGCATGGGCATCATTGCTTCCACATTAAGAAGTTTCTCAAGTCTTCTTCGATCTGCATTCAAAATTCCACGTCATAAATTGAAAGAGCATGTTGCCGAGATGCAAATTGAGAGACAGAGTAAAGAAGAAAAGCTCTGAATAAGCAAACAATAATGATGTGATTCAAAACTTCTTTTTTCCCAATGATATATGTAAACTTCATACTGGATTGATGGAGTCAAGGTGAACGAAAACAAAGGACACCAATTTTGAAAGAAGCTTCAGGGGAAATATTAAAATTCCTTGATAACAATCATTTTATCTAGAACACTCATAAATTATTTGTGTTCCCATGACCTCTTACCAAAAAATTCAACCATTATCTTCATTGTGATCAGTAAAGATTTACATGTGTATTTGCATTCCTATATAAAAAAACACCTGATATAATTGAAGTTCATATATGATAGTCTTTATCCAAGTTTGGAGTTGCTAAAAATTTTCTTGAAGCCTTCTTTTTAAAAGCTAAGGGTGCCTTTTGGGTTAAGTTTATCACAGGAGCAATTGTTAGGGATGTAAAAACTAGTTCTAGAGAATGTTTGATTTGTTAATAAATTTAAGGGCAAATTGTCAGAAGTAACAGAGAGAAAAGATCAAAATATTATTAGTGAAGCAAGAGAAAAACACAGGCAAACATTTGCCTACCTTTTGTTACAAGAAATTAAGAGAGAGAAAGAAAACAAAAATATATAATAATTAGAAGGTAAGGGTAACAATTACCCACATTTTGGAGGGCAATTGTTACCCTCTTAATAGTTCCTCTGATCCTAAAATTAAACAAAACAACATTAAAGGTTGCACTGATAGCTACACCCTCCATTACTCAACAAAACCCCGTAAACAATGCAGAAGAGGAGTATATGGATAGATATTTTGACATGAAAATTCAATTTTTGAGTTATGGGTAAGCATATAATATACTTTCTCCAGTACAAAATAAATACATTAATGTACAATATATAGGTGTGTGGATACAATTCTTATAATGGTTACTCAGTATCTGTATCGATGAATTTTCCTTGCAAGTTCGTTTAATAAATAAATTTTGCACGTAGTGAAATCATGATAAATCTATAGAAGCATGGACTCGATAACAGTTTCCAACTGAAGAATCAATCCTCCGTCATTATCAACCCGTGTGTAACAAGAAATGGAGCAAATAAACAGAACATCACAGTAGCATTTTTTTCCCTAGCTTTGATCCCAAGTGTTTACCTTGTCTTGCAGCTTCCTTTGCCCTCCTTAACCATGACTGAGCATATTCTGCTGCACTATTTGTAAGTTCCTGCATCTGGAAACATGAAAAAATTAATCCAAGAAGACACCACCAAATTTTACCATATAATAAATGCCCGTGTCTGGTATCATCCCGCATTCATACTGGTGCTCCAAAAAATTGTTGGTTGAAGAACTCGCTGAAAACTGGTTACTTTGTTAGCACCTAAAGAAAGTATTGAGCAGTGCTAAAGATTGGATCGCTCTTAAGCAAGTCTTTGCATTCTCATTGTCACTTCAAAACCAGAAAATAAAGGAAAAGGGGAACACAACACAGAGAGAAACAGAGAGATTAGATGCCAAATAAGTAAGCATGCTTATTTTTACTGTTCCCCTTCTGATCGAATATCCTGTAATATACAGTCTTAACCCACCAGTTCTGATTTTACATTTTCATTGTCACTTGGGTGCCAGAAAAAAGAAAGAAGAGGAGACACCCAAACACAGATTGGACCAAGATAAAGATTATATGCTGGAAAAAGAAGAAGAAGAAGCATACTTCGGTTCTCTGTTCCAGCCCTTCAGGTGGATTATCCTGTACCCATTCTATCTCTGCAACACGATACCTGTATAAAAAGAATAGAAACACATAAACCTCATCTACAAAGCTAAAAGCTTAGTATTGATGCCAACATAACCAAGGTAAATAGACAATATGATACTCAAAAGAAGATGCAGCTCACCCATCTTGATCCCAAGATCGAAGGATTCTAAATCTTCGGCGACTTTCAACCTGGATGAAATTACACTTTATGAGCTGAACAGATAAATTATAAATCATAAGGAGACAGAAACTACGGCAAGACACATTGCAGACAGGAATATACACATTAATTGAATGAGACCCTTTAGCAGCAAAATCAGCTTTCCATTTTATTTTTTTCTTCTTCAGATGTTTGGGTTCTACTGCCATGAATTATCAAATTACAAGTTTCAAGTGTTATTCAATTACCTTCAGTAAAAAAGAATCACGAACTCTCTCTCCCATTATCATATTTAGGAAGGAAGATTGGTTATTCTACTACTATAGCATGAACAAATTGTGTACTTTGTTTATAGAATCAGTTTGCCAACTAAAATGATCTGCTCCTATCATGGGAAGCTTTGGCTAAGACTGAACAAATAGGATTGCAGCAGATAATTTGCATGATGTGAGGTACATTCAACACAATAAAATATATTCTTCAAAAGTTGGCTCCAAATCAGGAAAATGAACAGACTCGTCTTCATTTGACAGGTACAATTAAGAGTAAATGAAACGTTTCCAAGATCTAGGTGCCCTTAATAACAAATATGGTTTTATTTGGATATGTGATGGCTCAACTTGTACAAAACGTTTTCACCTAAGAAAGAAATATGAAGAAGTTAACCTAAAGTTTATAAATGCTAGAGATTTAAGTGCTGATGCCTTTTCCTGTTTGTAAAGTAGAAAGACATAAGATGAAATAGTTTGTATGTGAAAAGGAGAGATGATATTTTCACCTCTAGATAGAAGCACCCATCTGGAAGTGGTTCACACCTACAGGATAGCAGCTTGTCGATTAAGAAAACAACAATAGAAGTAAAGATTCAAAAGCAAAAAAAAAAAATGAAAAAAAAAATCAGAGATTCAAAAGCAAAAAAAAAAAAAATGAAAAAAAAATCAGAAAAAGATAACACGGTTACAATTTGATAACTGTACAAACACCTACTCAGTAATCTCCACCTCGCAAGCCAAATCAGCTATCGAGCCTGAAGCAGAATCAATTATAACCTACATAATGCACACCAAAGTACAGAACAGTGAGGGGTTTTGGTCAACCTAATGTACCTTAATATAAAAGGAAACAAAAAAAGAGCCAATCAACAATTTACTACCATTCCCATCCGATGATTTCCTTCCATGATCCTCCTGACCTGAAAGAAAGAACAATGATCATCATTATATACAGGCCAAAATACAAAAAAGAGATGCAAAAGTTTTTCAGTTTCAAGTTATTTTAGAAGAGAAGAAAAAAAAAAATAAAGAAAAGCAACACAACACTTCAAATCATTTTACACCAACTAATATGGACTTCTAGTCACATATATCAATCTTATTACCAAAATGCACGTCTTAATACAGTCCATCTTTATGCATCTAGCTGCCTAACTACATAGCTTACTGCATTTAGAATGTGCCAACAAAATGCATGCATGAACTAACTAAATTGGGGTTTTTAAAGACATAAAATTCTTCATAAGCTACAAGATGCATGACTTCTTCAAAGAATATATCTTTACAAATCTAGCCACGTCCATTGCAAAGGAGCTAAAAATGTCAAGCTTCCAAAATAATGGAACAGTTCATGCAAAAATCATCATTGATTATGAAACATAAGCTCTACAATGCATTGCAACAGCACAGCAGGAGTAGATCTTTATACATGTCTTAAACCACTAGGATATTTTACATAGCCAATTACCTGAAAATTTCTTGCTTCAATTTTCTTGTTACTCATGATGTTCCTAACTTTTTCCAGATGTTAGGTTCAGCTTAAAACATGGTTAACTAGTTCTAGTTTGCATGTGCTATTGCAATCAAACGAAGAGTTCATAAATTACATGCGAGATAGTCATGCAAAAAATTAAATAAATAATGCAGTCAAATAAGGGTCATATTCTCTATTTTTTTTTATCAGGTTGGAAACAAAATACATTATAAAACAGAAAATAATGTACAGAATCAATGGTTAAATTATTTATACTGCTTGAGGTTTTACTGCTGTTGGACTTTAGTCACAGTGCCTCTAAAATCTACACAATAGTCCCTACAGCTTGATGATGCCATAAAGCAGCTGTCCCTCCATGCTCTACTCTATCCATTAGAAATATGCTCCATAGAGGATACTGTTTAGAAGGTAGAAGCACATGACTCGAGTCTAACTGTGCTAGGAACTTGAGAATTTATGAAAAACTTAACCAAACTCAGGTGTGAGAACAAAATATCCTTCAAACTATAAAGTAGAACCAGTATCAGAAATCAAAATAAAAGAGCACTGAAATCCTGCATTATATCAGGTAGGATCAGGTATCTTGTGTTATCTAAGCAAAGGAACAACCAAATTACCATCAGTCTGTATCGTGGTTCAAATATGTGGAGTGGAAACTTCTGACACGGGATAACAGCATCCATGACAAAAAGAGGGATCAAATCAACACCAAAGTTTGTCAAACAGTCATGCTCGGACTTCCTTTCAGCGTATTCCTCTGGGAAGTTCTTCTGTATAATGTTGTTTAAGGTCACACTGATAAAAGTTTAATTGTTATAAAAAGTGGAAATCATAATACAACACACCCACATATTGATCAGAAAAAAACAATATAACATCAAAAATGTTGTTCCCAATTATTTAAATATGAACAGAAAATGATACAAATATATTAATATGCATAAAACAATACAATGTTGAAAGTGTTGGTATTCCAATATTTAGAAGACAAACAGAAAATAAGACCGCTAAAACAATTTCTCAAACAATCAATCACTCAAGTCTGGAAAATGTGTTGCAATTCTTTAAGAGCTGGACCATTAATGAAAAGAATAACTGGTTTTCCCACAGTTTGAGAAAGAACATACTTTCCAACAAATTGTTTCGGACATGGTCATGCAAATAGTGATGATCTTCATTATTCTATTATCCATGTGTGTGTTTGGGATTGAGGGTTAGTGTTTGAAGCTTTTTGGCTCCACATGCCAACCTCTCCCATTTTTCATATTTGTAATTAATTATTATCGCTAAAGAACCACTCAAAATGAAGGTTTAAGCTTAAGTGAGGTTCAAGAATGGTTTAACATCATATATTTCAACACATCCCTTGGAGTGAAAACCTTATGTGCTTTAAACTTGCATAGGCACACCACTAGCATGAGCTAATTTAATTTTTATTAGAATAGAGGATAGACATGGTAAGATTTTTTAAGTAACGAGTCATGACTACCAGGCCAAAGAACCACAAAACCTAAAAGTTTAAGCCATTAAATGACTTGGGAATGGTTCTCTATTATATATTTTCTAGCAATTATAACCAGATACTAAACTCACCTGATTGAACATGTTCTAGGACTGATAAAGAGAACTGTTCGACACAATGGGCATTTGTTACCTAGCATTTAAAAAAGCATTAGCAAAAAAATTAGTAAATAGATGCATTGCCATGGCTGAAAATACAAAGATAAAACAGCAAAACACTAACCACGATCCATTGACTGGAAAAGACATGAGCGGCAAAAGGAATGCCCACAGGGAGTCGTAATAGGTTCAAATAGTAACTTCAGGCAGAGAGTGCAATCAAATTCATCACTACGTTCCGGTTTCCCAAGACTTTTACTCATCATACTGCCCAGCATTCCCTCCAAATTCCGTAAAGAAACACGAAGAGGATTGCTACATATTACCAGAACACTTAGCATGAATAATAAAAGGTATATGTTGTATCAAATCGGTGAAAAGATAATAACGTGACCAATCTACAGCCAATTAAGTATTAATCAAACTCTTTACTCAACATCTCCACCACTTTCTGAGAGTTAATAAAGAAAATTAGGGCTCTGTATCCTATCTGCGAAAACCATGAGTGCTAAGAGAACCAAAAGAAGAAGAGAAAAGGGATGGTGAAAGTAAAAAACATAATACCTGAAAGGATCAACCTGAAGACCTGAAAGAACAACATCCTGAGCCAACTCATACTTTTCCAGCTGCCCATTCACCGAGTTTGAATGTTAATCACAAAAATGAGAGAAAGCACATGCAGAGAGTGAGGCCTAGAGAACTAGGCTATGCTCGCTTCAAAACAGAAAAGATAAAGAACAAACTGCACTTACCAATATAAGAGCATTGGCCTTTAAGATGTATGGATTCACTAAATTGTTTCTGAGGTTTATTACCTTCTCGGCATCCTTCAATGCAAGCTGAAATATATTAAACATGCTTTCCCAGTTAGAACATTGAATAGCGCAGAAATTTAGATCAGAAACATCTGGTACGTACTTCAGCATGTATAGTAGGATCCAGCCCATTTAATGGTGTGTCCTCAGAAGTGGATGCAGGTCTCTGTTTCAGGAAATGGCTGACCCTGGTTAAACAAAAGGTTGTTGTGGCAGTAATTAAAATTTAGAGAAAAATTCTTCAAGAAGATAGTTGAACGACCACCTCACAATAAATGGAACAAACCAAATAAATAATTAAAGGAAATAATTTATCAGTAAAAGCAAACCTGCTATAAGCAGCACTACGGTTGCCAAGAATAATAGGATCACCGGGTTTAATGTTATTGGCTCTTGAGTAATAATTGATTGCCTGAGCAAGAGACTGGAATTATCAGCAATGTATTTGTAGTACATTAACACAGCATTATGACATGAGATATAAATTTTATTTGCCTATTTTTGAAATATTTAATTTTCAAGTTGAGCTGATAAATCAGTAATAAATGAACCTCTTTCAGTAGTTAACATTTGTCTTCTCTTTTTTTTTTTTTTTTCAGATTAAGGCAAACTGGCTGCATTTCTTAAAAGAGCATACCATACTGACAGATTCATTCTCTTTGGAGACGCACATTGCAAAAGTTAAAAATCATCATGCACTCAAACTCTTAACCCTTGTCCATCCTTATACACCAAATATAACAAAACAAAAGCAGCAAGCTTTGGGTGACTTCTTACAATTCTAGTTTCCACTACAGAGGAATAGAAACTAAAGGAAAATTAGGTTCAGTGAGTATTTGAGTTAGTATTGATGACCATAACTATATACATGATGAAAGAGAGATTTGAAAATTTTCTTTTCCAAAACAATATTTAGAATTTCTATGAACATCAGGGTGTATTTGAGTTAGTATTACCTTTTAAAGGGTAAACATAACAAAAACTGTTGCCTGCACTTCTACTCCACTAAGAATCTCAAATCACCATCTCCCTGACCACGAGCACCATTTGCTAGCATTACTAAAACCTTTGAACCAATCAATAAGATACCAAATAGCTCCATATATATGGTTCCTAGTACCTCTTCCTTTGGGACTAAGGACTATGATAATGTTTTAATTTCAATGGGGGGAAAGATAAGAACCACGACAGAAAAAATCCTCCACATGCTTAAATAATCTAAACGTAAATTGGATGTTATTGACTGTACTATTTTTTAAAAGAAAAGAAAATTCGTTTTTCCTTTCAGTTCATCAGCAAACCACACTGGTTAATCATATCATTGTAGAGTGCAGCTCTGGAGTTCGACTAACATTTCTGCTGAGGTTTGGTAACAAAAGAGCAACCTTAAAATAAGGCAACCTGGACTGGGAAAGATGTATGTAGAAAATGCAACCTGGAATAAAGGGGTTAGTGCTGCCATGGCAAACCACTGTAGTGGTCAGTTGAAGTGATGGTTTCATAATTCCATATGCAATTCTCACAAAACCCCCTCTCTGTACTGATTACACGTTCATATTTACTCGCAAAACAAGCTTGCATAAATTGAAAAAGAATACTGTTGCTAAGCCTTGGATTACTGTTCAACCATTAGTATTCAACTATTCTTTGCACTATAAGTAAAGCTTACCTTTGATTACAAGGTAATTAACTTAACCCACCCATTACCTTACCTTGCACCTTCTCATCTTGCCTTTTCATTTATCATTAAAAAAAAAACCTTCGACAATTTTTCCATAGCATTAGAAGCATTTGAGCAAAGTAAACCCCCAAGAAACTTCAAGGGATACAATGGAAGTGGAGAACAGGCACAGACAGTTAGAGGAAAAAATATCACCTCCTCAAAATGATTCTCCCGGAATGCCTTGTTTCCATTTTGCACAAGATCAAAAACATGACTGAATCGGTCCCATGGCAACGAACCCTCTCCTTCATTTGCCTGCATTTTAACATTCTCTCATTCAGATCCAAAAATACAGTGTATTACATATTCAACAAGAAAATAAAAACTCCATGATGTAAAATAATTTTGTAGAAAGAGCAGCAAATCAATGAAACAAAATCCTAAAGTTTAGGCCCGACAGTAACTAGATTCTAGAACCTTTATCTAACAAATTTCACAATACACACACAGAAGAAGAAGAAAAATCATAGGAACAGCTGTTTGGAAACTGTAATTTGTCTCTAAAAAATAGCAGAAACTTGTATTAATAAAAATGTCCATTCCTTACTTGAGTAAGTAATGAAGGCAGATTATTTTCCAGTTTTCTATCAAGTTTTTTTTTGCTTGAAAAATAGAGACATCAAATTTGCTTCATGTTTTTTTTATCATTGGATTTCTCAGCAATATAAATACTTATTGTCCTTTCACAGATTCTACTAAACTATCAAACACTTATTGAAGAAAAGAAACAAAAGAAACAAAACAAAATTTAAGCGAGGAAACAATCAAAATAACATGTTTGGTTTCCAAGAAAATATTATATTATTCACGTGCTACGTTGTTGCCACAAATAAAAAAGAAAAGAAAAGAAACAACACTTTAAAAATAGACCAACAGTTGTAGTATACAGATATATTTGATCAGCTCAGAATTCTTGTTTTCTCAGCTAAAAAACTAAAAAAGAAAATAATTAAATCAACAACTATACTTCAATTTTCTCCTTTTTCTTTTTCACATTTTCTCAGCAGGCAATCAGTCAAGAACGCGTGGGAAAAGGGAAATCACAGTATTCTATCAAAAACAAGAAATCTCAAGTATATATATGATATCTAATGTTATGTTATCCACATTTTGGCAGAAATTAATTATTCTTGCAAAATTACAGTGCAACAATTATATTTCTTTTTTCTCTTTCTGTAAAAAAAAAGAAGAAGAAGAAAATAGGAAGACAGACAAACAGACCCAAATGAATTCCTCAACATCGTCGAGTCCTTGTAAAACCACTCCAGAAGACGACGACGCCGCTTCACCTGACATTTGTTTAGCAATCAATTCTTCTTCAGAGCGAGAGAGAGCTATTTTTTTAGTTAATACTGATTGATTGATTGACTGTTAATCTTCAGAAATTTAATAGGAGGAGTAGTAGTAAGAAGAGGATGAGGAGCAGGAGCAGGGGCAAAATTGAAAAGAAATTGAATGAACGGAAGTAAAGAAGTAGTAGTCATAAAGAAGATTGAATGAAGAAGAGCATCGTGTTCTTCTCTATATCCTTCGTTTCACGCACGGACCAAATTCGACTACGTCTTTCTTGGCTCTAGGGACGGCAATTGGCACCCATAAGTCACTAGCAAGCTATCTATTATATCTATATTCTTCCTGTTATTTATAAAATAAAATTTTAGAATATTTATATTCATTCACATGTGTAGTTAGTTGCCTGCATTATACTATATACTATACTGTAAATCGATCCAAATTTTTGTAAATGTAAAAAAAATATTTATATGGTGGCACTGTTTAAAAAAAACATGGAAAATTCAAAACATTTATTAAATTTAATAAATTCAATTAATATAATAATATAATTTTAAAAAATATATTGATAATAAATTAAGTGAATTAAAAAATCAACAATAATTAACTATGAGTTTTTAATATCATATTCCAAGAAACAAGGAGAAAAAATTGTTAGAATCTTGCTCTCTACCATTATAAATTCACTAAAAAAGTTTTAATACCACTATAATTGAGCTTTTTATATTTATATTTATATTTAATTAATTTAATTTAATTTAATTTAAAAAATATTTCTTCCAAAAACTAAATATAAAAAAAAATAACAGATAAAATAACTTGAAATAACTCATGCTATTTTTTAAATTAATAATAAAATATTATAAAAATTAAATAAAAAATAAAATAACTCAATTTCTAATTAAATAAATATTAAAGGATTTCATCCACTTTAATGTGAAAAAATGAAATTAAAAAAAAAGTTATCAATTAAAAAAACTTACTTAGCAAACTCATATGAATATTTTAAACTTGAATTATTCTTTCAAATTCGTAACTCAAGAAACCTGAGATCTAAGATTAATTATAAAGTTTATTTACAATCATTTTAATATTGAATGATGAAATAAAAAAATATATTTTAATATTAAATGATGAAATAAAAAAATATTAATTTAAAAATTTATCAAAATTAAAAAAAAATAACTATGAAAACAATAAAGATCAAATCTAATAAAATAAGTATAAACACTCTCAAATTTTACGAAATACAATTCCTTTTAATATTTTTTTATGGTAAAAAGTTAGAATTTTTTATTTTATCTTATTAAAATTCTAGCAAATTTTTTTTGTATTTAAATAGTATTATATTATCGACCATGAATCATCATTCTCAATTCTAACATTATAGTATTATAACATCAAATATATTCAAGAATTTTGTCAATATTTTTTAGTATACATGTTAATGATATAATTTTTTTTATCAAAATTTTACATAATCATTCTTAATTTTAACAATACATATTAATGATATAATTTTTTTTTATCAAAATTTTACATAATCATTCTTAATTTTAACATCATATATTCAAGTTTTTTATGAACATGTCTCAGTATCCACATTAATGATATAATTTGTTTTTCTGTGAACATGTCATCCACATTAATGATATAATTTGTTTTTCTTCAAAACTTTACACGGGAATAAATGCACATATAAATTTATGTATGCTTAGTATAATGGGAAAATTAATTATGGGAAAATTAATTTAAATGATAAGAAGAAACATTATTGGCATAAAAGATGAGATAATATCATAATAAGTACTAATTCATATATTTAATTACAAGATTACTTAATGATAACCAAAAGTGAAGCCTTTATTATAAAACTTCTAATATAGCTCCGATAGGATTTATATTACATGTCAAAAGACAGGTTACAATTAATATATTAGTTCATGGAAAGTTGTGTTCCACCTGAATTATTATTGTAATACATGGAATTGAATTAATAAGTAAGGCAATCATCAATTTTATCTGCATTCAAAATTTAGATTTTTAACATACAACACATTAATTTTCATATATCTATCATAATATATCATACAACTATCTATGACAAAATCATCAATTATTAGATATTCTAGATATTCAAGCTAATTTATACACATTTCAATTCTTGATCAACACTAATTTGACGCTATTAATAAGAATTAATCATTTTAACACTCTAATCATTAATATTTCGACACCATTAATTCTGTGTTGGGAATTAATCATGTTAACACTTTGATTATCAATATTTTAACATCATTAATTATATCTTAAAACTTAATTATTTTAACATTTTGATAATGAAGATTTTGATGCCATCAATTCCATCTTCAAAGTCGATCAATTTAATATTCCAGTTGTCAACATTTTAACGCCACTAATTTCATCTTAGGAGTTGGTCATTTTAACTTTCTTTTACCATTAATTTGTTTTGTTTGCAACTTAATAACAAAAGAATAAGTCTTCTATATTAATTGTAACCTCAACAATTTAAGTAGTTTATTTAAATATGATTAGGAAGCCTACCTGACGTCGATGCTCAAGTGAAACTCCTAGTTATTGTACGGATCATGCAGCCTCTCCTATGTAGTAGGAATAATTGTTACACACGACTCGATTTCTACAGGGATCTCATTTATCTAATGATTCATTTTAAATTTTCAGTCTTTTGTAATAAAACATAACATTCTTTTTTGTTTTTAATCCATTTGACCGTGACCCATCCTAAAGAGGAAAAAATGTTCTTTTCTCGTATCTTATTTGCTTCTTACGCATTCATGCTAAGCCATAAATTCTAAGAATATCAACACTTCAAATTTCTGTTCCAACCCATGTTTTCTTTAAATACTTGTTCCAACACTTCAAATTCAACATTTTTTTTAGTTTATGTTTAATTGTCTCCCTCCACCTTCAAGTCTTCTTATGGCTAGCCTTAGCTTATGGTTCTCACCTTAGTATACTTCAATTTATTTTTAATGTGCACTCTACAATTTGTTATTTTCTTGTTAATAATTCTTATTTACAACATTAGTTTCCAAAATATTATCATGTATAATAACCCTACGTTCTTATTTGGGGTTTTCATCCCTTGCAACATAACTTAAAACAACAATGAAGAGTGAAGAGTTGTTCTTACCAAATGAATTACTCAAGGATTTTCTATTTTTTTTTTAGAACTTTCTATTTTTTTCCTTCTTATTCTCTCTCTCAATATCTCTATTTTGTGGCTTTTCTCCTTACACTCACTCTTCATTCATTTTAACATAATGTAGGGATGACATGCAAGATAATACTTTGCTGGAAAATTTACATAAAAGAGGGCTGATGGGTGCTATTTTGACCGGTAGTAATGTGAGAGGAAAAATCACCCTCTTTTCTCTTAAACTATTTATACGTCCTCATAAATAAAGTTAGGTCTTGTTTGGATGTGCTTAATTCATGTTCCAGTGTCTTTATGCTGTAAAATGGTCAGTTCATCATATTTATTTCGTGTATCCTCTCTAAAGTTTATTCATTTGACTTTTACTAACATTTTACACTTTCATATTATGTTATTTGTACTTGGTAAAAATATTATGCAAGTCATTTTTGTGTTCAACTCTTTAATGTGGCTTCATGCGGGGTTTTACAAAGAAAAAAACTAAAAGAGCATGAAATCATTAAAAAATAAATTTTAAAAATATCTCAAATAAAATAAATAGTAATCAAAAGAATGAGAATCAAATGTGGAGGATGAAAAAATTGAACAAGGATGAAATTGAAGAAAAATTCTGATTTTATAAATTATTTCAAATAAAACAAATAGTAATGACATGACCAAAAAATTGATATTTTCTCCCAAGTGCAGGAGTATTGAAGTAATAAATAACCCGGCAAGACTAGGGTCGAACCACAAGGAGATTAATTGTATAAATTATAGATAACAATAATATAACAACAACAACAACAATAATAATAGTGGTGGTGGTGGTAGTAGTAGTAGTAGTAATAATAATAATAAAGAAAA